AAAGCAAAAACAATAATTTGCCCAATGTCACACAGAAAGTCACACAGATGTCTTGACTCCCAGGGCTGTGTTTTCACCACTAGATGATGCCACCCACACATGCTGGTTGTTCAGTAAATACAGTCAGTACCAATCAATGTATTAGTTGTAACTCAAAAGTTTCTCAGTAGTTACAGAATACATTTGCATTCAGTCAAACCCAGCAACCACCTCCATCAGCACTATTTTGGTTTCAGAGGCTTTCTCGGTACAGACATTATTAGGGTGGAAGACCAACAAATTCCAAAACGTGTTTACTGAGGAATGTTGCTACATGGCCAGCAATCATGTGGTCACCAAAACCTTCCGTGGCACAATAAGATCGCCTGTGATGGACATAAGTTGAATATCCAGCCAGGTCACATTAAGGACCTAGGTGGCAATTGATCAGCAAGGAGGCAACATCCCTTTGGGATTTGCCATGATGATGATGATTTAAATTCAGCTTTTATCTAATTTAAATACTGCTAGATGCTTTCCTTGCCTATTATTAAAATGAAAGGAAGAAAATTATATATTGTATATCTATCCAAATAAATAACTAAAAAAGTGTCAATGATGGAAATGCCTTTGAATCACCACAATAAATACAGTTTTAGAGTGCATACGTTGCATTATACTAAGTACAATAAAATGATTTTGAAGACAGGTCTTTCATTCTGACACGTATCACAGACTGTTACTATCATCTCGGTTGACAGGTGGCAAGTGTAGAACATTCTACCAGAATAGAGAATGACAATTATTCCCTTGTACTTTATCCACTCAATGTATTGAATTGAAAATAACAGCTACATGATTTCAATACTGTTTTAAGATGTACAGATTCACAGACAAAATACAAGTGAAGAAAGCAATGCAAGAATCCAAATTCTTTTTAGGCAGTTTTTCATTACATTTCAACTAAAAATCCATTTCTTTACAACATTATAGCACAACCAAGAAGTGAATTTCTTGTTGTGCTGGCACAGTAGGATATTACTTACATGCAGGAAGTCACAAAAAGATATTCAGGTTGGCAAGTTTTAATGAAACTTCCCCCTCCTCCCCCACGCAGAGAGAAAGGAACTGAAGAGAAGAATTAACAGCTGGTGAGTTAAACTGTACATTTATTCATTTTACGATGCTCAATTCTGGACATCTGATGACAAAAAATTAAAGCAGCTGCCAAGAGGACTTGATGTATCTATGGACTAACAACAGGATACAAAGACTTTCACCTTCAAAACCCTAATCCTGCTAACTCGTGCAGATGCTTAACCATGAGTAGGCCAACTGAAGTCAATGGGACTGGTTGTGGTAGTAAGGTTAAGTACGTGCAGAAATGTTTGCAGGATCAGGTCCCACATCACTATTTTGAACTTGGCCCAAGTTGGTAGGCTGTGAAGGGGCTCACATAAACTGAGTAGATGGTTTCAATCCAGGTACTACGCATGGGGATCTATACAATGATTGCAACCTGGCTGTCAGTCTCATCAGGCTGACCAAGCATTAAATTGGACTGGAAAATTACCCTAAAGGTAAAAGGGTAATTAATCTTAGACGAGGCACTCAAATATACAGCAATGGGTACAGTATAAATTCTTAGTGTGGTATACCTTCATTAATTCTAATCATTTCAGAAAAGTCTGAAATATCTGTGGAACATTAATAAAATCATAGTCAGCAAAATGAAAATGAATTACCTCATACTGGGGAGGAAACTATTCTATTCTAGGTGTCATGAATTTAAAGCTGCACTCCATCACACTTGGATGCACTTAATTTTATGTGCGAGTAGTCCTGTTGAGTATACGCATTAAGTTTTTGCAGGATCCAGCCTCTTTTTTTGTTTTTAAGAAACTATACAGAATGCATGAAAGTTTAACTACCTTTACTCATTTAAATGATAAATTTTGTCTTAACCTTGTATTAAATTAATCTACAAGTACTTCATACCTAAAAAGGCCAACGTTTGAAATTTTAGATAGATAGATAGATAGATCACTCATTTTGTCAATTCTCAAATGCCACCCTGGGTCATCTGTCTGTCTTAGCTACCTGTTGCATCTTATCATAAACCTATGATGTGAGCTCTCTAGGGCAGGGACTGTCTTCTTGTTACTTGTTTCTATAGCCTTAATATAATGGGTCTTGATTGGGTCATATGTACTACCGTACTACAAATAAAGGTATTAATTCGCTAAACACTATTGCCAAACAAATACCAAATCAATAATAAATAAGCAGACTTTCTAAAATTAGGACTTTATTGGCTTGCAAAATATTCATAAAATATTACCAGCCCAGACACAAGATCTACACCTTAAACTTTAATCATGATAGCAATGATAATGAAAAAGCTAAAGATGGATATTTTACTCACCCCAGCTGAGTGAGAGAACAGAATTATTAAAGTCAAAAATTATAGTCTGCACATGTATAACAATACAAATATGAGACTAAGGCTGAACATACCTTCTACAGTTGCTTATATGAGAAGATGAATTATTTCTAGTTACTCATTTTATAAAATCACTTACATAGCATTAATTTTAGCCATTTTTTAAAAACATCTCATTTCTGTAATGAAGGGTTTTTTCCTTAATGATGACTTTAAAAATCTCACTTTCGTTTTTTCTCAAAAAACCTTCCTCATTCAAGCTGTCACATGAAGTACAAGTTACTCAAGGCAGTTATGAAACTAGATTTAAAACTCCTTGCTATTTCCTAAGATTATCTTGCCTTCTATTATGAAAGGAATTACATAAAACAATAGGAATCATGTTATGATGACTTTTCTTGTACAACTCATACAAGTTTCCCTAATCAGGAGTTCTTTTTAAAGCTACTAATTTCTTAGAGAACTTCCCAGAACTTAGAAATCAAAAGGTGCTGTACCATATAAGTCACCCTATACTGTTATCTATAGAGTGTCTTAACGTACATGGGTGTATTACAAAAACATAAGATGACAATTATCAACATCTTTCTGTCCTGAAACTTGTGGAAGGAGAAAGAAGCGGAGGTTCCCTCTATTCATGAGTGATATCTAAAGCTATCAGCAATTCTTAAAACAAGCTCACAACATTCATTGTCCAAAAAGTGCTACCATAACTCAGTTTACTGAATTCATTTAATCTCTAACCTAGTCAGAGGCTGTGCTGCTGTAGCAAGATCTATACTCCAAGGTTCTGATCTTGCAAAGAGTTATACAAGTGCTTAACTTTATGAACTTCAGGAGTCCTGTTTACTTCAGTTGGGCTACTTACCTGCACAAGTTAAGCATGTGCATAAATCTTCACAGGAATAGATGCTAAATCTGTAAATAAGTCATTTGCTGTCACCCTCACGTTCATGTTTCTGTCTTACCACACAGGGAAATTCCTCCCATGAGAAAAAAAATTCTAAAAGATACAACAGGCCTCAATCCTGCAATGAGCTCTGTGTTGGCTGACATCTGTACCTACATGAAGTGTCATGTAAATCCACCAAGTGCTATGTGGGTGCAAGCATCTACTTTCACAACAACAGTAAATTGAGGAAAACAATGACTATGAAACCCTGAACTCTGGATGGAGAGGAATGAGTTCCTGACTGGCATCAAGTCATTACCAAAGTTACTAATTCCTAAAGACTACCCCGTAACAGGGGATTTGCTTTAAATGAGCAATAGGTGCCATCATACCCCTATTAACTGATTCTATAATTAGGGCCCTACCAAATTCATGGCAGTGAAAAACACATCACAGACCATGAAATCTGATCTCCCTTGTGAAATCTGGCACCTAGTCAGGGGCTCCTACACTACACAGGGCTCCAGCCGCTAATCCCAGCTGCGGATGGGGAGGGACAAGACTTCCTCTTCCCCTGAAGGGGCTACTCCTGGGATGGGTCAGACCCACCTCCAGGAAGCTCCGCAGTTTGAGCTGTCACCTCTACCCCCATGATGCAGGAGACTGCTGGGAAAACCTGACATATGGTAATCCACCCCTCCCATACCCTGCAATCCTCACTTCTGCACTGCTGGTGGTGCTGGCTTTAGAGCTGCGCTCCCAGTCAGCAGCCTTTCTCTCTGGTTGCCCAGCTCTGAAGGCAGCACCCCTGCCAGTAGCGGGGCAGAAGTACAGGTGGCAATCCCATGACCCGTCTACAATAGCCTTGCAACCCCCACACTCTGCCTGCCTTTTGGGTTGGGACCCCCAGAGATACTAAATGGTGAAAATTCAGATGTAAACTGAAGACCTGAAATTGACAAATTTTAAAAACCCCTGGCCCTGAAACTGACCAAAATGGAATTTGGTAGGGTGCCATCTACAATACTTGTGGTGATGGAGAGTGTCCACAACTCAAATAAAACCTGGTACCACTGTAACATCTGTTTCGCCTCCACAGGCATTATGTTCCAATATGCAAAAAGAATCCTTCCCTCCCCACACCATATTGTAACCACATGTTGTGCCATGATACTCATGGAAACTCACCTCTTATTGAGCCCAATTTCTAAAAGAGTACTAATTTATAAAGGCATATAACTGTTTGGAAAGTGAAAGCTGTAACACAATTAACTGAATTAATAGGGTCTGGTGACAGCAATGTGTCTACAACTCAGCCAGATCCTGAACCTCCTGATTGGGGTAATTCCAAGACGATGTTAACAAGTGTTTGCCACCCACGCAAACCCCCTGAAATGACCCAGTTGACACCCAGCTGAGCTGCAGGGGGGGTGCCAGGCAGCCCCCGTCCCCCACACCTAGCTAGGCTCACGCTGGGGGGGAGAGGGGGGCAGGATTGCCAGGCTGAGCCCGACCCCAAGGGGGCTCGCGCTGCAGGGGGGGGTGGCCACGGCAGAACCAAGCCCCACGCCCCCTGGCAAGGGAGGTCACACTCGGAGAAGGAGACAAAGCCTCCTGCCTAGAAGTGGGGGTGGGGGTCCCCCGTGGGACGAGGCAGTTACCCCTCCCCCGAAGGGAGACACTAACCTGTACAGGCAAGACCCGATCTTGCCGCAGTCTGTGGTGCGTGGCCCGGCCCTGGCCCCTGCTCGCGGGGAAGGGGGTACCCAGGGCTCTCTGCCCCTGTGCCCCACTCTCCGGTGCAGTAAATCAGCTGACAAGCTCTATCCAGCAGCCGTGACTCCTACAGCAAGTGTCGCAAAGCCTCACCGCAGTGACTGACGGCAGGCTGAGGAATGGGCGTAACTATGGAGACCACATCGGCGTGATCCCTCCCCCATTGGGGGACGGGATGGGAGCCGGGTGGGCGGCGCGTCACGGCTGCAGTGCTGAGGGAGGGGGCGGTTGTTCGGCTTCCCGAGCGCCCTGCCTTGGGGAGGGGGAGGCCTGTGGGGCAGTAGGTTGTGGGGGATGCCTTGGGCAGGAGACAATGACAGTGTCTTTGGAGAGCACAGGACTCTTTGTTGCTTTTTATATTATTTAGTCATTGCAGTCTCACAGTGCCTAGCAGCCTAGTCATGGGCTGTGCTAAATCAGGAAAAGCCCTCTGATTCTCAGAGTATCTCCACGGGGAGTTCCTCTGGCCAGGGGCGGCCCAGCACTCGGGGTTTGGGCAGTGCGGCGCTTGCGAGGGGTGGGGGTTTCGGCAGCCCGGCGCTGGTGGGTTTGGCGGCGCGGAGCTCGGGCGGGGGGTTCGGCAGCGCGGCACTGGAGGGGGGGTGTTACGGTGGGGCGGTGCTCTTTTTTTTTTTTTTGCCTGGGGCTGCAAAAAAGTTAGAGCCGGCCCTGCCTCTGGAATAACTAATAGCTCTCATAAATAAACAAGTACTTGATAATAGGCTCTTCAATCTCGCATAGGAAGGTATAATGCGCTCTGATGGCTGGAAATTGAAGCTAGACTACTTCTGACTGGAAATAAGGTCTATAGACTCATAGACTTTAAGGTCAGAAGGGATCATTATGATTGTCTAGTCTGACCTCTTGCAGAACGCAGGCCACAGAATCTCACCCACCCACTCACTCCTGTATCAAACCCCTAACTATGTATAATGGAGAGAGTAATTAACTATTGGAATAACTTATCGAGAGTGGAGGTGGATTCACCATCACTGACCATTTTAAAATCAAGTCTTGATGTTTTTCTAAACCATTAAGACTTTTGGGGGGTGGGGAGGAGAGTTCTATTTCCTGTGTTATACAGGAGCTCAGACTAGATGTTCACAATGGTCCCTTCTGGCCTTGGAATCTGTGAACTAATAAATATTCTGGAATCATAGAATACCAGGGTTGGAAGGGACCACAGGAGGTCATGTAGTCTAACTCCCTGCTCAAAGCAGGACCAATCCCCAGACAGATTTTTGCCCCAGATCCCTAAATGGCCCCCTTAAGGATTGAATTCACATCCCTGGGTTTAGCAGGCCAATGCTCAAACCACTGAGCTAATAATCATTCTGCAAGAGTTAGTTCAGTAAATTTTCAAGTGCAGACAAGCTCTAAACACTGGTGAGTTAGTACAGGGTGCCCGCCCATGTGGTGAATACCTACTTTGTCGGTGTTGTAGTTTATCTATGAAGAATATGTGTTTGTTAAAGTACCTATGGGGAAAATACTTAGAGAGTATGAGAGCATGATGATAGTACCAAGGAACTTCCCTAACTCAGTTTTTTCGGGGGAATACTTGCTACTTGACAGAGATGCTGTGAGAACTAATAAATTAATCTTTGTAAAAATCTAAAGATTTTAAAGTTATTTTTATAACCCATAAGACAGTACCTGTAAGAGTACTTGATGACTGTAAATTGAGCATGAAAGAAAACTGGTGGTTGTCACATTTCCAGGCTGCAATCCAGACTAGTGAGGGGTTGTCACCACCTGCCCTGCATCTTTGGGTGCCTCACAATGCTTTGCTGCTGTAATTCCCAACCTGGGACACTCACAAACAGCATGCAGGTCATACCTTGGGTGTCTGTGTATAACTATGGCCTGCCAGCAACACTCTGGTTTCCACCAGCCTTGGTTACCACTTGCAGAGTGACCCCAACACACTCCCAGTCCTGAATTTTCCCCCAAAATATTTGTTCTGCATTGTTCGTCCCTCTCCTGGACAGTTCAATATTAGAGGTCCCCTTGTAAGGGGTCAATATTCAACAGTTTGCTTTTAAGTGGAGGTATTCAGTTCAGTTTAAATACAACACTGGATTAGTTCTGATTACAAAGAGAGAGATTTTTAGTTAGTACAATTATAAAGTATTAAAGTCAGAAACGGTTACAAGAGGAATGAAGATAAAATGCTCTCTAGAAGCTAACACTTAACAAACAAGACTTGGTTCAAGGTAAAATCCTTACCATATGTTCCTAGTGACAGGGCTATCCAAAATCCAAGGTGTGACACTCTGTACCTCGGGGGAGAGTTTGCCCCCATATTCCTCATTTATATGTAATATAATTTATATTGCATATAAAGCAGGCCGCGTGAGGTATCAGGGGAAAGGTTATGATCTTCTGAAAGTCACTGTTCTATCGAAATATGTATATCATTAATGCATAAAGCTATGAGAATTGTGTTGTATGGTTGTCACTAAAATATGCTGTGGATTTGGGAAGCGTCCAGATACTAGCTCTCCAGAGACAATGCCAAGGAAAGTAACCAACACCTGGGAGGGTGTCAAACAACCATTAACAGCCATTGTCCAGCAAGGGAGCTACAATTCAATGACTCACCAGCATAAGGCCACACCAGGGGTATCTTCACTATGCCTGGCAATTGGCAGAGCAAAGATCAGGGGATACTTACTGTTCAAGGTGCGAGCGCATCGGAGGAACTTGGTGGAGATATCCATACTTAACAACCAGGTGGACAAATTAGCCAAGCAGGCTGCTAAAATGGGCCCTGAATCGCTGTGGGACAAAGTAGGACCTACCATCCAGGCCTTGGCAAATTCCATTCCACCAGATTGTAGCAACATCATCAAGCTACAACAAAAGGACCCAGAAATACAACTCCTCAAGAATGGCAAAAGTAAGCTGTGGACTATTAATCAACATCGTTCAGGTGTAGTGATGGCAGAAAAAGAAGGTGATAAAGATAAGGAAATGCAACTTCCTGTATTGATCATCCCATCAGTACTGAGGGGAGAATTGATTCAACTGGCATATGCTCAGGGACATTTCGGGTTACATCATCTATCTTCAGTAGGATGGTGGCCTAGTATCAGACAGGACATGGAATATCATATTAATAACTCTTCAGTGTGCTGCAAATAACCCCGACCCCCATATCAGGAAAGGTCCTCTGCTACATCAGACTACAGGAGGTCCATGGCATCGTATTCAAATAGATTACATGGGGCCTCTTCCTCGCACAAGAAACGGAAATATTCATTGCCTAGTGGTGGTGGATTCATTCAGTAAATGGATAGAGGCGTACCCCACTAGAAGGTGTACTGCATTAAATACTGTTAAGTTGCTTCTAGAACATGCTTTCAGTTGGTTCGGGATTCCAAACATTATTGATTCGGACCAAGGGCGTCACTTCACTGGAGAAGTAACAAAACAGCTATGTATAGCCCTTGGAATCAAGCAAAGATTTCACATTGCAGGCCACCCACAGTCATCTGGGCTGGTTGAACGAACAAACCGAACCCTGAAAACTGCCCTACAGAAGGTTATAGAATCATCCGGACGAGATTGGGACTGGCATCTGCCCATGATTTTAATGGCCATAAGATCGACCAGAGGGGCTCATGGATTTACACCCCATGAAGTGCTTTTAGGAAGGCCAATGAGAACTCCAGAGGCATGGTGGTTGCCAGGAGGGGTTCTCCTGGATGAGTTTAAGCCGAGACAGAAAACAGATGAATATATCAAAGACCTCCTTAAAACTATCACCAAAACTCAAAAGGGAGCTGCAATTCATTTAAAGGGCAACATCAAGGCAGTAGATGACCGTTTAAACAATAACTTGAAATTCCAGGAGTGGAACAGAGGAGACTATGTACTTTTTAAATCTTATTCAGAAAAGGACCATGCTCTGAGTCCTAGATGGATGGGGCCAGCAGTCATTGTGCAAAAGGATGGACCCGCTGTGTATCAAATTGAGATCAATAATGGGAAAAAGAACAAGCCAACTAAATGGTTCCATAGTTCCCAGTTAAAACCTTGGAAGGGAGTTAAGCCAGTGTATATAGGTACAAATAGGAGCAATGATTGGAAACCCCCATAGTTGCATAATAACCATTTTCTTTCTTCTCTTCCTGTTTACAGAAGCCTGGGAAGCTAATGATGAAGGAAGAATTACATGTTGAACTTTTGTTAATGTACATAGTTATCCTATGAATTCCTAACGTGTCTCTTCAGGAGAACAAATTCTTTCTAACCAAAGTGAATGAATATTGGAAGTGTCAAGTCAACCCAATGATAATGGATCGATGGAGGAGTTCACCACTTGCGGAAGGGTATTCAAGAAGACTCCAAAGCCAGGTAAAGCAACAAAGGAATTCTCTGAAAGAAGATAGCACAACGGAAAAACTTCCAGTGGTTACTAGTCAGAAAGGAAAAGGACCATGGAGAGTAAGGCACCCTGGGAGCGGGAAATGGAATTGGGAGTGGGTAACATTATTGTCTTACAAATCAATGGGACTTTGCTACCTAGCAGACTCAGAATATTCACAGAATCAACTCACCACATTGTCTGACACAGTTAGTACATCTAACCCAGTACAACTCTTTGGTCCCATACGCAAGGGATATGAATGTGAATGGCATATGCCCATTGTAACTTTCACCAATTGTGCCAGAGATCTTTTCAAATGTGTTTCATTTGACATCTCATCTCCCTCCATGGTAATGCCCGGAGAAATGAGTTTATCCATTCAAATGTATCATCAACAAACTCACACAGATTTTGTAGACATCTATATAAAACCTTCTAATCACAATGACACTGTGTTAAGGTTGACCTTTGACTCTCTCACAACTGGTTATAATATCTCCTTGAAGGATCACATTAATTCAAAGTTTTGTATCTCAGATAATGAAATTAATAAGTTTAAGGAATTGTGTATGAATGTTTTTACCATAAATGTTACCTTGACACACTCTGGATTATGGACTATACGAGGCCCACTAGAATTTGA